GCTGCTTACAACGAGTTCATCCTCTCGGAGTCCTGATCTTGCTGCCCTTCCTCCTGCCCTGCAAGAAGTCCTCCCCACATCGCTGTAACGTAGCCACTCTAACATGGATTTCATGTTAGAGGAGGCACCAGGTCTCAGAAAAGACAAAATCTCTGGGTTTTAGAGGCACGGCAGAGCCCCATCACAGGGACTCTCATTCCCCATGGACTTTTAAACCCAGGACTCTCTTTTCGTGAAGCATCAGACATTACTACACATTGCCATGAGATATCTGAAAGCCTTAAGAAGACTGAAATAGTATAAATATGTGAACTGAATAACAGGAGTAATTTTAGCCCAAGCCTACTACAAATGGCTCCTAAATAGCTAATTCAAACGCTGTTAACTCTGCAAATCCAGAGTATGATGAGGGAATTACAGAAAGGACAAAAGCCGGAACATCCATCCGGACCGGACAGTCCAGAGGAGAAAAGATTTGTGTTTTTCAAGGACAACAGAGCTAGGGTTTTTGGCTATCTGCACTGACAGGTGAGTAGGCAAAACAGCAGAAGTGCTTGTGAAACAGGAACCTCAGCAAGCGGGAGAAGCTGCGGCCGCCCCGGGGCCGGAGGAGCCGCGTTCGGCAGCGCCGCGTTGCTCCGAGCCTCACGTTTTCAGACTCCTGCTTTGCCTCGTGCCGTGGGGCAGGGTTGAGCGGCCAGTCCACTCCACACACCAGCATGCACATGCAGAAAGAGGGAAAAAAAAAACTGCTGCCTTTCTGTTTCAGAGGAGGGAACCACAGTGACTAGCCCTATAAGCATATGTATTAATCATGCACCGTCTGGTTTTAATCCACACACTGCTGATCCTGCGTCTCCCTGTATTGTTATCAGGGGAAGGAGTATTTCTCCTCAATCTTATTCACCAGCCAAAAGCCTGAAAATGCAAAAAACACATTTGTGAAGTGCCTTCCCCAGGACCCTGGGCCCCGGACCTGGTGAGCTGGGGCTGCTGCCTTTTTATTGGCGTTTAAAAACCTTTTATTAACGTGTGTCAGGGCTGGGGGAGGAGAGAGAGGCTCAGGTTTCAGGACCCCCCATGCAGAGAGTTTTATTGTGGGAAGGGACATTAACACTTTCTCCTCCACGTCCCCCTGGTTGGGCATGCGGCAGCGCGTGCACCGCAGGGTTTCAGACACGCACACAGAGCCCAGGGACGAGTGATGCTGTGTGGCCATATGGGGGACAAGGACCTTCCTGCTCTGCTCCCCCCTGCCCTGCAGCCCTGCTCCAGCCTGGCCACCAGCTCCACAGGCCACTGCTGCAGCAGGGTGCTCCCAAACCAACAATATCCAGCTATTTCCTCAGCCGGAGAAACCAGGCCGCGGCCCGGGATCCTCAGGATATGCCGTCTGGTGCTGCACAGGAACAGACTCACGCTGAACCACCACTAAAACTTATTTTAACCTCAACACAGCCCAAGTGTTTTCCATCGAAAGCCCCCATCAGCAGCACCACACTCCTCCGAGGAGGCCACATCGGTTGCCCTCCCCTCCTCCTTGCACCTAACCCCGCCGTGCCGTTATTCCCTGAGCACCAAGGGCTCCCATTCCTGGCAGCGGCTCCTCGGGCTGCGATCGCGGCAGACGCGGTCTGACAGCTCAGGCACCAGGCTGCATAGTTTGCTGTTGACTGGTACGTTCGATGGTGTTCCATCACACAAGCTGCAGTGGAGATCTGCCCAACATACGCCCAGGAAAACAGCACCAAGTTATGCTCACCCCGGAGCCAGCTTTTCTCGGTTACAGCTTCCCCGGCAGCGCGAGAGGCG